CGGGAGCAGTGGAGTCGACAATTTCAAGTTCGGCAGGGTGAAGTGCACCACGCAGATTGCCCCACATCGATTGCACGTCGATTGCACCACATAGATCGCGCACCACATATATTACACCACATATCCGTCACCGTGCCTGCGCGGAATGGGCGTGTTAGAATGCTCGTCTGTTGTCCCGGAGGTTTTTCAATGTTTTATAAGGCCGATCCCCCACCCTCGCCCACTATTCGTTCGAAAATCGTCTTCTCTGAAATTTCATTCTGGCTGTTTTTCGGGCCTCCAAACTGCCAAGATGGCCTCAAGGACGGCTTCTCAGACTACCAAGACGACACCAAAACGGCTCCAGATGGTACAAGACTGCCCAAGAGGCTCTGAAGAAAGCTCCAAGACGGCTTGAAAGGCTTCCAAGAAGGCCCAGGAGGGCTCCAAGAGGCCCTCCAGGAAAGTCCAAGGAGGCCCAAACCATTTATTTGCCTTAGGCTTTTGAAGGTTTTTTGAAGTTCTCGCCTAGTTGGTTTTCCGACCGCCCAAGACGGCCCAAGGGTCTTCCACGATAGCTCCAGGACAGCGCAATTGGCCCCCAAGAGAGGGCGTCGAGTCGGCCCAAGAGGACCCCAGAATCATCCAAGGGGCTCCCGAGAGGGCCCAAGACGGCCTTAAACCGCTCCAAAGAGGGCACCAAGACGGCCCAAAGAGGCCCCCAAGACGGCCTCCGAAGGCGTCAGACGGGCTAATCGCGTCCCTAAGACGGGCCCAAAAGGTCCCCAAGAGGCCCCCCAGAGACCCCAGGAAGATCGCAAGGGGCCCCCAAAAGACCCCCCAGGAGGCTCCCTGGAGGCCCCCAGGAGGCCCCAAGAGGGCCCCAACATGTTTTCTCCTCATCGTCCTCATTGTCTCCGCCTCCTCCTCCTCCTCCTCCTTCTCCTCTCTAGCGCGCGGACGAAGACGATGTCTGGATCACGACCGTTCCCAGTTTCGACCACTCGCAGAAATGCCGCGGGGTGTGAACTCGACTTTTTCCCAACCGCGCGGAGAAAGCCGAAGTCGAGTTCATGACCCGTCCTTATCAGACCACTCGTGGAAATTGCGCTGTTCTTGCGCACGGTCTCCTTCCAGCGCTGTTGCACAGGCGCGGTGGCGGGGTCTGCCGCACGCAACTCGATATTGCACGACATGGTGACTTTTTATCCTAGACTCAACGCTGGTGTACAGTGCGCAGTGTGCTGCTAGCACGGCCTTGTGTGAGGCCTCTGGGGCAAATCGCTGCGGAGGTGGGGAAGAGTTGCTGCAAACCCGTCTCCCCAACCTATGCTAAACTGTGTGCGCAACACTTTTGCGAGACACGGAATTCAGACCGGTCTTCACATATCTTGTGCCACGTAGATTATCCTTTCCAGAAGAGAGAATTAGGATCTCCCCCCACGGGGTGAACGGGTCACGTTTTCGTATTGAAATTTACATAGGATTCAGCCCCATCGTCCATACGAGTTATGAATTCATGCGATCCCGACCAGGCCGGTATCGACCCCCCCGTCATTCCCGTCAAATGATACCATGCGCGCGCTGTTTTGCGCGCGCATGTCGAAATCGTTCGAAAGCGTTTGCGCGCGTGCCGTCGCGATAATCCTTTGCAAACAATGAGACGAAGTGCGCACGCGCGTCGCCACGCGCGCATACCGAAATCAGTCCAAAAACATAAAAAAAACCTGCGGTCGCGCTCTTGCGACTTCTTAAAAAAGTCATAGGTGCTTCAACATTGTCATGGGATTCTGCCAAACGGGCCTTTCGCGCGTGCTGGGGGGCACGATCGGTGTCAAATGATACCATGCGGCTACTCTAGTGCGTCGGCCGCGCGCGCCTGTCGAAACCCTTCCAAAACCTTCATCGCCGACGCGCGGACGCCGTCATCGTCGTCGGCGTGATCAGCATCGGCGCCGTTATTTGCCTTGCCGTCGTCGTTCATCGTCACCATCGCTACTACCATCATCGTGTCTACCGTCGTGCCCGCCCAGTCACCGACCCGCAGTAAAGTGCCCGCTGAAAAGTGCCCAAGGGTCAGCGCCACCGCGGCCGCGTCGGTCGCGTCAAACTAGCTGACCGCTGTGCGCGCGAGCATGCGCGGCCGCCGAGATGCACCAGCCAATGCCAAGCACTCATCGCAATCGCCTCCGCGTGGGTTTTGCAAAGCAAGTTGCGGGTGGGTGGGTGGGATGATTGCGCGAGCAATAGAATCGACAACCTCAACTTCGGCAAGGTGACGTGCACCACGTAGATGGCACCACGTATGATGTTCCACACATATTGCGCACCGCCGTGTGGGTATACGCACATATATATATATATATGGCATATCACATATTGCACACCATATATTGCACCACGTAGATAGCACCACGTAGATTGCTCCACATAGACTGCGGACCATGTGCTGCTAGAAACACACTGTTTGGGAACCGCGCTGACAAACAATTCAATTACACGGTTGTCAGGCTTCTGAAATCTCCGCGCGCGCACTTCCGCACCATCGCTTCATCATTGCCACCGCAACGCCGCCGTTATCGTCATCACCCATCGCCGCCGTTGCCGCGAACATCAGTCGAACACCTTTACCACCGACGCATGGACACCATCATCGTCATCGTCGTCACCATCATCAGCGCCGTCGCTGGCCTTGTCGTCGCTATCGTGCTATCGTTGTCTTCGTCACCACCATCGCTACTACCATTGTCGTTGCCGCCGTTGTCGGCGTCATCATGGTACAGCGCCCGCCCGAATCATCTACCCGCACTGAAGCGCCCGCGCGCCAGCGCGGCTTTTGAGGTGCGCTGGGAAGTTCCCATCGGTAAGCGCCATCGCGGCCGCGCCGGTTGTGCCAAACCAGCTAACCGCTCTGCGCGCGAGCTTGCGCGCTAGCGCGCCCATAGGGATGCGCCAGCCAGTGCCAAGTAGTCACCGCGATCGCGTCGCATGATGGTTGTGCAAATCAAGTTGCGGGTGGGAGGGCGGGACGATTGCGCGAACAGTGGAGTTGACGACTTCAACTTTTGCAAAGTCGATTGCACCACATAGCTTGCACTTTCAATATTCTGCCTCCTCCTCCCTCCTTTCTTCTCCTCCCCTGGGAATCCCAATCCCACCATGGCTCACCCCCTGTTGGGGCCGTAGGCCACTCACTGGCTTTTCCAGCACCGTATTTAATGGCGTCGAGGGCGAACGTCTATCGCTATTTTGGTGGCTTCTGCAACCTTATGTGTCTGGCGAGCGTTCATCTTTTGTTTTGATAGCCTCTGGATCCTCGCGCGCGCGCGTGTGTGCCGGCCTTTTCGGTTCACGCTGCGCATCCTGGCCTGCCTTGTGCCTCTTCCCTGCCGGTGTGCTGGCGCCGCTGTGTCTTGCCTTGGCTCTTCGCTGTGCATGTGCTGGCGTACTGGCCTGTCCGCGTAGCTTTTCGCTCTCGCCCTCCCTCCCGTCCTCGCTGCCCACGCCCGAGCCTGCGGATGGCATGGCTGCTCCAGGCGGATCCCTTCTCCTTCTCTCCTGGAGGCGTGGCCCCGCCCGCCCGCCGCTCTTTCTCTTCTCTTGACTCTCTACGCCTCGTCGAAGCGCGCGAGGCCGCGGCGCCCAAAAAGTGTGTGTGTGTTGTGTTATATTATATATATATATATATATATATATATATATATATATATATATATATGTATATGTGTGTGTGTTTGTGTTATATTATGTGTGTGTGTGCGTGTTTGTGTGTGTGTGTGTGTGTGTGTGTGTGTTGTGTGTGTGTGTGTGCGGCATGGCGGTTGGTGCTCTAGGATCCGAGGCGACTCCCGAGGGCCCAGCCGTGCCCCCGCGCTTAGTGCTCTCACTGACTCCGCCTCGGCGCCGCGCGCGAGGCCGCTTCCGCTAAAAGTGTGCAGGTGCCGTTCTCGATGGGGTGAACGTTCCACCCACTTCTGCTTCTGCTTACCCTGGCCTCTCAAATTGTGATCTGGAGGGCAGGAGGAGCCCGCAATCAGGGCGCCCTCGACCGTCGCGACCACTGGCTGCGGCACTTCCCTGTCTGCCAGGGTCGACGCCTCCCTCCCTCGCTCCTGCTGCTGCTCCTCCGCAGTCCTCCTCTCCTCTCTTCTTGCTCCCCCCTCTCCCTCCTCTCTCCTCCACCTCCTCCTCCTCCTCCTCCTCCTCCTCGTTCTCCTCCCCCCTCTCCCCTCTCTCCTGTCTCCTCCTCGTCCCTCCTCGCACCCCTCCCTCCCTTCTCCCTCGTCGACCCTACCCCCCCTCCTCCTCCCCGCCAGATCGATACCTTCCCCGGCTGCTCCGACGATGCGACCGGGAAGGCCTGGGTGGGCGCGAGGGAAGGGCCTGCGGCTCCTCGTGGACACGTGCGGTCGTGTAGACCCGCGAGACCTCCGAGGCTCCCTTGCGCCCCCTGGCCGGAGGCGTGGGCTCCAGGACACCGGGGGGGCACGGGAGCGGAGCGGGCGGTGCCCCGCCCCGGCAAAGGTGGGCTGGCATCCCCCGGGAATGGCGTGCCCCTCCCCTCCAGAGCCCCATCCGCGCAGGATCCTCCACCTTGTCAAGCAGCAGTGGTGCCCCGGGAGAGGACGGGGGGGAGGGGATGATGATGATGATGATGATGATGATGATGATGATGATGATGATGATGATGATGATGATGATGATGATGCTGCTGATGATGCTGATGATGCTGATGCTGCTGATGATGGTTGTAATGATGGTGGTGATGATGGTGCTGATGCTGATGATGTTGTTGATGATGCTGATGCTGATGCTGATGCGGATGCTGATGCTGATGCTGATGCTGATGCTGATGATGATGATGATGATGATGATGATGATGATGATGCTGATGCAGATGCTGATGATGCTGGTGGTGGTGCTGGTAATAATGGTGATGATGAGGATGGGGAGACAGGGAAGGAGGAATAATATTATGATGACATATGAGACAGAAAGATGGGGACGCCCTCCCCGGTGACCTCCCTGAGGCACGTGACGCTGAATACCTGGACCATGTCCAATGTCCGGCTGCTCTTGAAGGCGCTGCTACGCCGCCGGGGGCCTGTGAACGGGCCTCCCAGGGTGCACCTGGGGAGGAGAAGGAGGAGGAGGAGGAGGAAGACGAGGAGAAGGAGGATGGATCAGATCCGTTGGGATCCCGAATAAGAGCCGCTCCTCCTCCTCCTCCTCGTCCTTCTCCTCCTCCGTCCCCTCCCAATCCCTCTCCTACTTCTCCTACTCCTACTGAACTTCCTTCACTCGGTACAGACATGACCTAAGCAGGCAAGGCCCACACCACGCTACAACGCAATACGAAAGCTGCGAATGTGTTGCTGGACGAGTTGGTGGGATGCGTGAGGCGTGTTGAATAGTCATGGTTTGGAGCAGAATGAAGAAGAGGAGGCGTAGGATCATTAGAGGGAATCTGTTGAGGATGGTGAGGAGCAGAAGGTGGAGGACGATGATCAGAAGGTGTGGGAGGTGTAGAGGCCGTGAGAGGGTCTGGACTCTTGACGCTCCCTCCAACCGAATCGGGCGCATCCGCTCAAAATACAGCATGACAGAAGACCCAAAGCTACAATCAGCAGCACCCCCGTCACCCTACTACCTATGACGGGCATAGGCAGGGGGAGGGAAGGATGAGTCTGAGGAGCAGGAGGAGGTCCGCCAACTCTTTCTCCTCCTCCTCCTCCTCCTCCTCCTCCTCCTCCTCCTCCTCCTCCTCCTCCTCCT